ATATATTATTAATATTGCTCCTGTAAGACATACCATATTACACTGTGGTACTTCTGTAATGTATATCTTTTGTATTTACAGTTTAATACTCAAACAGATGTAATATAATACAGTGCTTCCCAAACTGTGTGTTGCAGCAAACAGTTGTGCTGCAGGAGGGTATCAGATGTGCCACAGAATTTTTGCAATTATAAAGTAACTATTTAGCAATGTAAATTTATCAAGTTAATACATTTTTCAAATTTCAAACTGATTTATTTTCTCCTTGATACACAGTATAACAGTAATTTCTGTACGTCTTGATCAGAGGAATGCCACTAGGCCTGCCATACAGACTTATTTACATGTGTCGCAAAAAGTTTTGGAAGCACTGATTTAAGAGATATCTCTGGTAAAACAGTAGCTACTATTTCAGTGATATGTTCCCATAACAACATCTTGTTTTTTCAATATCTTCAGAATTCTTACTTTCTTTTTTTTTTTGAAGAATAACAAAAATGACAAACTCGTCTGACAGTTTCATAAGTTCAGTAGGGCAGCTACTCAAATAGTGCTGTTTGAATTGCCATATCTATAATGATAGAAGTTTTATCAAGCAGTCCTTTTCAATAGATATGATCTCAATTAGTATATACATATATTCATGAATAGTTGTTTTTAAGAGTGCTAGAAAACACTAAAAAGGCTTGATCTACTTCCACTGCTAACCCTAAAATTACCAAAGAGGTCCATAAAATCCCCATCAACTTTTTAAACAAATTTATCTAAACTATTTATGCACTAAACTACTTCTCAGTCCATAACTTCATTTGTTACATGGCCCCTAGTAACATTAATGTTACACAAAAAAAAATTAAAACAAAAATACTTCCAGGTTCATAGTTGATTGAACTAATTATTGATGGGGTCTCCTAAGTATATTACAAAGAAAATTGGTGATTTAACTCAATTTTTATGATAAGTTCTTTACACTGGGTGTTGTAACAGGCAAAACATAAAATAAATCAATACAATGAAGTGTGCCGACTCATCATCAGTGAACAGTTTAATATTAAGTTAGTAATGTGATGGCTGATGAATTGAGCAGTTATCCATATACAGGACATAAGAAGTGTTGACCAGTTAAAAAAAAAATCATTCTCAATTCATATTTTCTTTCTCTGAGCCTCAGTGCACAAATATTTAATGTTCTCACTGGTATTACACAACTTCACAAATATTTAATGTTCTCACTGGTATTACACAACTTCACAAATATTTAATGTTCTCACTGGTATTACACAACTTCACAAATATTTAATGTTCTCACTGGTATTACATAACTTCACAAATATTTAATGTTCTCACTGGTATTACACAACTTCATCATTCATTATTCCTTTTTTTTTTCTTAATTTGGTTTTAAGTACATCTTTAGTTCAGATCTAGATTTTCCAAAGATTTCTACTCAGCAGGCTATATCTTCATTTAATGATAAAAACCATAGTTTTTGGCTTTTCTTTGCATATAGACGCTTGACTGGAATAATAATTTGAGTAATAATTAATATGTATTTGTTACTTTATAGATTTAATAGATATTTGTTGTTACTTTATTAACGTTTTTACACTTATACTGCGAGTTAAAAATGGCTGCTGCTATGATTTTGTCTGGTTTATAAGTTCGTTGCTGTCCTAATTTAGGATCTTTTTAATAAATTCATAAAATGTTATAAAAGAGAAAGAAAGGGGGCCCGGCGAGGATGTTTGCCCTGGGGCCCGTGCTGGCTTTCGAAGTTCCTGCTATTCAGAATGATATCTGATTTGTGTAAGCTTTTTCAACCACCTTTGATGCCAAAGTTAGACAGAGAAGTTTACAATATAGCAAGTTAATAGAATACTTATTAGCTGTATACAGTTAAACAGGCAGGAAATTGATATTTTATGGCTAACAACTTTGTTCAATGTTGAAAAATAAAGAGATGTATTTTTGTTGATCATTAGTATATAATAACATGCAGATATGTAGTAGAAATGGCAAATTACTGCCTGAGGAGATACATCTCCATAACACCAGCCAGTAATAACAATCATAAGATTATAAAAACAGAGAGAGCTGAGTGTGCCACTACATATATGAAAAATGCCAAAAAACCTTAATTCTTCCAGCATACTATCATTTTATGTTCTAAAAAAAATGCTTTTACAAATGAATTTGTGAAATTCTTCAACTATTTAAAAAGGAAATAATTAGAGTCTGAAACTACAAAATATGTGTGTACACAGAGATGTCTGGTATGAAAACTGCATCACTAAATGTACCATTCACAGAAACATAATCTAATTGTAACAACTAGATGGCCAACAGCAAATCTGTAATTGAAACAACAAATAAACTACCTGATAGAAACATTAGTCTAACACTTGTAAATCAACAATTTTGAATGTTTTATTGGACAACATGCAATCTGAGTTTTTAGTAAATTATCAATATCATAGTTTAAATCACATTTTCTATTAGCTTCATCATAAAACTATTTAAGATTTTCATCACACAGCTCTCCTCACATAAAGCTATCTTGATCTTCTTTCTGCCCTCCGAGTATAGCTAAAGAAAATAATAATAATTTCACGCTCAGCACACTAGTCTATATACCCCACCAATTTCTCGCCACTATTGAACATATACATAGCATGTTACTACTTTCTACCAATAGTATTGTATCACCTGTATTAGCGCACCTTGCTGCCTTTTGCTATTCCTGCTCAATCCTCACTTTTGAGAATTGGCAGGATCTAAAAGAATAACACCAGCAGTGGGGAGGAAGGATGGGAAGTGTGTTAGAGTGGGTTAATACCTATCAGAAATACATTTTCAGTGTAATAAAATTTAAACTTCCAATCAGGTCTTACATCCTCTCACACAAAGGTAGAATCCCACATTGCAAAGGTGGAGTGGCCAGTGTAGGCTCACAACATTGAAATCAAGTAGAAAGCAATTGCCCAGAGTGAACGGGTGGGCTCTGAGATGAACTGAAGCACACATGTGAGGCACCACACTACTTCTGGAACAGGTATGCCCTTCACCCTTGAAGAAAGAAATCAATCTGATACAAGCAAAAAAAAAAGGATATGCACAAGTGTAATCCATTCTAAAAGGTGTAATCCACAGTAAAAAAAAGAAAAAAGCACCTGATGTAG